AAAGAAGGGGGGGGCTACAAGACCAGGAAAGAAGGAGGAGGAGGAAGAAGAAGAAGAAGCGCCAAAGAGTCCGGAAGATTTGGCACAGAGAAAGGAAAGAGAGAGAGAGATCAGGAGGAAAGACGTTTCTTAAGAAGGGAGGAAAGAAAAGGAGGAAGGGGGGAAAGGAGAAGGAAGGAACCCCAGTCCTGAGTCTTGGCTTCCTTTTGAGGAGACGCCTCTTCTCTTAGCCTTTGCCTCACCTGTGAAGGTAGAAGAGAAAACAAAAGCGCAAAGAGGGAAAGAAAGAAAGAAGGGGAAAGTTTGGGTTACAATAATAATGATGAAGAGGAGGAGAAGAATAGCAACCAACTAAACGAGGAAACGGTTTGGAAGGAGCTTTTGGGGTTACAATAATGAGTAGGATGATAACAAAACAATTTCGGAAGGCGCAACTGTTTGGAGAGGGAAAAGTCCTTTTTGCTCTCCAAAGCTGGAGAGTTTGGCTCACTTACCTCTCCAAAAAGAAGCAGTTCCGGCTCTTCTTTCTCTTTCGATCTAAAGGCAACGGCTTCGGCATGAACTCGGGGTCCCGAAGCCCCGCCTGACTGCCTCCGATTTGGGGTGCAATCCCCCCCAAAAGGGAACAACACAGAGAGAACTCCTTCGGGGCTGAAGGCGCCTCAAGGAAGAACTCTGCGTAATCCTTCCGCTATCAATATTAATCGCTGATTAATTAATCATTGGGAGAATGGTAAGCTGGGGACGGGTTTGGGGGGTTTGAGGGGCCCCCTCTCTCCTCTCCGCCCCCCTTTTGGGGGAGTTAAACCCCTTCCTCTACCCTTTTCCCCCTCCCTCCCAAAGTCTCCAACTTTGGCGCACTTTACGCAGCAGAGTTTATGTATCTCGGAGCATTTTGGAGCAAGACAAGAGGAGAAAAGGGGAAAGGAAGAGGAAGGGGGAGAGAGGAAGGGGATCAAAGGGCGGAAAGGCAGCAAGGGGAGCCTCCCAGCCCCCCGAAAAGACTCAGAAGAGGCGGAAGAGACTCAGAAGAGGAGAAAAGAGGCGCCCCGCCGCTGCGGAAAGCACTCGCTCGCTTGGGGATTGCTCCTCTCCTCCTCCGCCGCTGTGGCTCAGTCCTGTCTTCCTTTGCTGGATCCCTCCTTCTCTTCCCCCTCCTTCCCCTTCTTTCTTTTTTCCTCCTTTCCTCTTTCCTTTCTTTTCTTTTCTTTTTTTTTTTTAAAGGGAAGGCATTCCTTCTGAAAGAACCAGGATGGTGCCAGCCGGCTCAGGCTTCACAGATGGCTGTGGTGGGACACAACCCGTGTCATCAGAGAGTGGAGGGAGTTTGAGAAGGAGGGAGAGAGGGAGAAAGGGGGCAGGGCCTTTCCTCCAAAGGAGAGGAGCAAGCGCATGGACAACCCATGCATGGGGGAGAGAGGGAGGGGTGCGCGCATTTCGCTCTCATTGAGGAAGGAAAGGAGGGAGTTCTTGCTTTAAGCCCCTCCATTTCCAAAAGTCAAAACCCATCCCCATTCCTTCCACATATATACCAAGCCCTGCCTTGTTTCTTATCTTTTTTCAGAGCTGGGGAAAGAATGCTAGTATTGTTGGGTTGCTGTGAGTTTTCCGGGCTATCTGTCTATCTTCCAGAAGCATTCTCTCCTGACGTTTCGCCTGCATCTATGGCAGGCATTCCTCAGAGGTTGTGAAACTTCTGGAACATGGCCATAGGTAAAGGGAAGGTTTTCCCCTGACATTAAGACTTTGTAAAACTACAGTGCACTAAGTATGGCAGTTAGTGTCACACTCCAGTGTAGATAATAATAATAATAATAATAATAATAATAATAATAATAATCGAAATAATATATGAATTCCAGCATATAGATCTCGTTTGCTGTGACATACTGTGTTTTTGTGTCAGAATAATAATAATAATAATAATAATAATAATAGGTTAAGTTGAAGGTTTCCCCCTGACATTAAATCCAGTCTGACTCTGAGGGTTGGTGCTCACCTCCATTTCTAAGCCGAAGAGTCGGTGTTGTCCGTAGACACCTCCAAGGTCTATGGCAGGCATCATCAGAGGTTGTGAGGTCTGTTGGAAATTCGGGAAATGACTGGCAGTAAGCAGCCAGACCTTGACACTGCTAGGCCATTCAATGCTAAGCAAGGTGGGCGGTTGAAAAATTCACAGCTGCCTCCAACACACAAGAGTTCTTTCTCCCACCCTGGACATGATTCCACAGATATATAAACCCCGTTTTCCTAGTTTCCAACTGACCTCTCAACCTCTGAGGATGGCTGCTATAGATGCAGGTGAAATGTCAGGAGAGAATGCTTCTGGAACATGGCCATACAGCCCAAAAAACTCACAGCAACCCAGTGATTCTGGCCATGAAAGCCTTTGACAATACAATTATTATTATTATTATTATTAAACTTCAAGGGCCCTTCCACACAGCCATATAACCCAGAATATCAAGGCAGAAATCCCACAATATCTGCTTTGAACGGTTATCTGAGTCCATACTGCCATATCCAGTTCAAAGCAGAAATGTGGGATTTTTATTCAGCTGTGTGGAAGAGCTCAGAGTTGTGAGGTATGTTGGAAAAATAGCAAGAATGGGTTTATATATCTTTGGAATAATGTCCAGGTGGGAGAAAAACTCTTGTCTGCTTGAGGCAAGTGTGAATTGCAATTGGCCACCTTGATTAGCATTTAATGGCCTTGCTGCTTCAAAACTTGGCTGTTTTCTGCCTTGGGGATCCTTTGTTGGGAGGTGTTAGCTGGCCCTGATTGATTCGTGTCTAGAATTCTCCTTTTTATGAGTTTTGCTCTTTATTTACTGTCTTGATTTTACAATTTTTTAAGTACTGGTAGCCAGATTTGTGTCCATTTTCATGGTTTCCTCCTTTCTGTTGAAATTGTCCACCTGCTTTTTGTGGATTTCAATGGCTTCTTTGTGTAGTCTGACATGGTGGTTGTTAGAGTGGTCCAGCATTTCTGTGTTCTCAAATAATATGCTGTGTCCAGGACCACTCTAACAACCATCATGTCAGACTACATAGAGAAGCCATTGAAATCCACAAGAAGCATGTGGACAATTTCAACAGAAAGGAGGAAACCATGAAAATGAACCAAATCTGGCTACCAGTATTTAAAAAAAACTCTAAAATCAGGACAGTAAATAAAGAGCAACACTCAAAAGAGAGGGGAATTCAGGACAAGAATCAATCAGAGCCAGCTAACACCTCCCAACAAAGGATTGGCCCAGGCGAACATGAACCAAATCTGGCTACTAGTATTTAAAAAACTCTAAAATCAGGACAGTAAATGAAGAGCAACACTCAAAAGACGGGGGATTCCAGACAAGAATCAATCAGAGCCAGTTAACACCTCCCAACAAAGGATTCCCAGGCAGGAAGCAAGCTAAAAGGCCATTCAGTGCTAATCAAGGTGTCCAATTGCAACATTCACACCTGCCTCAAACAGAAGAGAGTTCTTTCTCCCACCCTGGATATATAAACCCCACTTTCCTAGTTTCTAACAGACCTCATAACCTCTGAGGATGCCTGCCATAAATGTAGGCGAAATGTCAGGAGAGAATGCTTCTGGAACATGGAAAAACTCCATGTGTCTGGCCATAAAAGCCTTCGACAATCTGCTGCTGCTGTTGTTGTTGTTTTTACTCAAAAGTGCAAGTGCCTCACCAAACTACAAACCCCAAGATTCCCTAGCAGTTAAAAGTGGTGTCAAACTGCGTTAATTCTACAATCTCCCCTTTCCAAACGTTGGGGTCCCTTCCACACAGCCCTATAACCCAGAATATCAATGTATATATATTACTATATATACATTAAATAGAAGGAAGAGTTTGAAAAGGACGGAGTGGATACTCCCCCAGCCAATCAGGAGAGAGAGAAAGCCCTGGGCTCCCCAAATCCTTCCCTGATTGGCTGAGTCCTTGCCATTGGGACTCATTGACTCCTCTCTCAATCTCTCTTCTGTCCATTGAGCCATTGCATCCCCTAGTGGCCTATTCCCAGCCAAGAGTGCATCTACACTGCAGAATTAATGCAGTTTGGCAGCACTTCAACTGCCAGGACTCGGCGCAATAGAATCCTGGGAGTTGAAGTTTGGTGAAGCACCAACTCTGTTTGGAAAGGAAGGCTAAAGACTCTGCAAAACTACAACTCCCAGGCTTCTGAATCATTGAGCCCTGGTGTCAAGTGGAGATTGAATCCCAAGAATTTAAGGGAATGGAAGCAAGATTTAATACTTTTTTAAGACTTCTATTTTTCAGGTGTCGTTTTCTAACCTTTTTTGTTGCAATCCTGGTACTTTCTTTATATAGTTCTGTTTTGTGACTACTTTAGCTATATTGGTAATGAGTGATTGTCTAAAAAAACAGATTATTTTCTTCTGTAATTGAATTCCACCACCACCACCCTTCAATACTGATTTTGTGGTTGTCTATACAATAATGAATTGCATTTACTCAGAAGTAACTAGGGATGGATCCCAGCATGTAGAATCAATGCAGTTTGGCACCACAATAACTTGTCCATGCTATGGCAATCCAGGAAATTGTAGTTTTCAAAGGTCTTTAGACTTCTCTGCTAAAAAAAAAGTGTTGGTGCCCCCAACAAACTACAAATCCCAGGATTCCCTAACAAAAAAGCGTTGATGCCCTAGCAAACTACAAATCCCAGGATTTCATAATACAAAATCGTTGATACCCCAACAAACTGCAAATCCCAGGATTCCATAACACAGAAGCGTTGATGCCCCCAACAAACTACAAATCCCAGGATTCCATAACAGAAAAGCGTTGGTGCCCCCAACAAACTAAAAATCCCAGGATTCCATAACACAAAAACGTTGATGCCCCCAACAAACTACAAATCCCAGGATTCCATAACACAAAGCGTTGATGCCCTAACAAACTACACATCACAGGATTTCATAATAGAAACAAACTACAAATCCCAAGATTCCATAACACAAAAACGTT